ACAGAGATGCATCCAAGACTCACAAGGTACCCACTGCTCTCAGAATACAAGGGAACAGAGGGAACATTTTATTAAAGTGAGGGAACCGATTCACAAGTCACAGGACATGATTGATAAACTGATGGAGGCTGCAAGACGATACGGTCTGTGGTTTTAGAGGATTGTTGCATGAAACAGCCTCAATCTTAGTATTTATGGTTCACTCTGATTTGAATACAGCTACACTAGTCCAACCTGTGGGTCGGGCCCCTGAAAAGGGTCAACAGATAAATGTGAGGTGTCATTTCATGATTAGAAAGAGATTTCCAACTATTTCCAGATCAACATACAAATTCCTACCTCCAGATTTTGGACTTGTCTTCACTTTTATAGTTGCGGTGAAGTTTTGAATGACAATAACAGAGAATTGAAAAAGACTCAGAAGACACTGTCTCTTGATCTCTTCACTGCCGGAGTTACACTGGGATTGATTTTCTAAACGTACTGTTTCAATGTATAATCTAAAATAACACAGCTGTGTGAGTCCAGTATCTCTCTGTGTCTCAGGTGCCAACGATTTCAGAGACAAACTGGAAAAGAGCTCTGACTGCCATCCTCGGGCAGCTGAACAACCCTCAGTACAATAAGATGCTGACATTTCTGAAAATCCTCCAAAAGAAGAAAACCACTAAGTTCAAAGAACACTTGCCCCAAAACATTATTGAGCGCTTCGGAGTGGAAACGTCCATCCAGAAAGTCAAAGAAGCACTAGATCGGATACCTCGGAGGGACGATGCAGTCCAAAAACACTTGCGACCCTTTGTGCACAAACTGAAGAGCAAACAGGAAAAGAAGAAGAAGGGTGAGGTCACACTGTGAGGTGTGTTAATGTCAGACTTCTACAGACAGCCTGTGGTAGGACCAAGCTTTTATCATAAGAAACCCTGTTTTCAAAAGTTCAAAAGTTCATTAAAGGATTCAGAGAATCTGAAATTTCTGCACACACAGAGAAACCTGCAGACCGGTACTGAGGCAACACCTGCTGTTTCTTATTTCAGCAGACGATGAACAAAGCACCTCTGCACTTACACTGACCTGTCTGCAGTCCACACATGAAAACATCCGCGGCAGGTTTTTAAACCAGCTACTAAACCAAGGAGCTGATTGAAAGTACTGTGATCAGCTTAGCGTCTGATCACAGAGTGAATCAGCTCGCAGTTTGAAGTTAGAGTTTGTTTTCTGCTTCTCGAACAGAAGCCAGATCTTAACAGCATTTTTCTTCTTTTAAAGGTAAACGGATAAACTCCCAGCGTAAGGTAAGAAGAAATAAACCACCATTTTTAACCACATGGCCCCTGCAGTGCATCACAAATAGTTTGTGTTTAATTAATGATTGTTGTGAATTTGGTCTCCACAGACTGATCCTGTCGGCATAATGAAGTCCAAAAAGAAGAAGATGGAGAACAAAGATTCATCCCTGAGATCAACTGAAACCACAGAAACTCCAAAGGCACCTGCTGTTTTCAGCCCCTGGCCCATGAATACTGTATCATCCATGAGTTTGAATGGAGCCACCAAAACTCCCGAGGTAGCTGCTGTTTACTGACTGCAGGGTGTAAATGTGTTTGAATTGTTTTTGAGCCAGTTTTTATTCAGTTTTTTAGTATAATATAAGGTAACAGCTTAATAAAAGAGAGGAAATAAACTGAGGGAGCACATTAACAAATCAAGGTAACAGCTTAATAATTTTATAGAATTGATTAGTAAACTGAGGAACCAGAACTGTGGGAACTGATTAATAAAACGAGGGAAGTAATTAGTAAACATAAGGAACTGAATAATACACGTAAGTAGTAAAAGAATGGAATAGATTTATAAACTGAGTTAACAAACAATCAATAAACAATAAACCGATTACTATAGTTATGTTAACAGATGAATTATTCGAGGGAACTTGTTCATGAATTTAGGGAACTAATTAATAAATCAAGGTCAGTGAACCAACAACAGAACTAATTGATAAACAAAGAAACCGAATAGTACTGAGTTAACAAATTAATAAACCCAGGGAAGTGATTAATAGAGGGACATTAATCCATCAAGGGAACCGGACATTAAACTCAATTAATGAAAGGTGTATAATATACTGAGTTGACAAATTAATTAATTAAGGAAACTGATTAATAAACTGGGGGAACTAAAAAAGGGAACAGATTAGTAAACTAACAGATTAATTCACCAAACAAAAAGTTTATCAAATGGCAGTTTACACTCTCACAGTTAACATCCATAACTGACAGGATGTAATAGAGAAACTCAATTAGAGGTCAAAATGTATTCATATATCTATTAATATTTTTACATATTAATATATATTTCTTTTAAAAATTATCAATAATATTTATTAAATAAATAATTATATTTGGTTTTACCATATGGCCCCTGCATTGCATCACAATTACTTTGTGGTTAATTACACTGTAAATGATTTCCTGTTTTAATTTGGTCTCCACAGACTGATCCTGTCAGCACAATGAAGCCCAAAAAGAAGAAGACGCAGAACAACGATTTATCTATGAAGTCAGCAGAAACCACCAACGCTCCCGAGGTAGCTGCTGTTTCCAGGCTGCAGAGTGCAAATGTTTTTGATTTTCTTCCTTTTTTAACAAGTCAGTTGTTATTCAAATGCTTGGTAAAGTACAAGGGAATGGCTTAAAATAATGGAAATAAACTGAGGGGACATATTAGTAAATCAAGATTACAGATTAATAAACCAAAGGAACGGATTAGTGAAGGGAAGAAACCAGAGAGTGTGTTTAAAAGGAGGAGCTAACATTTTAATACATTAAATTTAAGGATTGGTTTTACAAACAAGGAGTAAAGATTAGTACCACATGACCATTAGGGGGCTCTGTAATTTGGAGTTTTTGGGTAACCTTGTGCTCTTTTTCAGTCTGATTGTTCAGAACCATCAGAGGCTAAACTGGAGGAGCCAGCGAACAGTGATTCATCCCTGAATTTGAATGGAGCCACCAAAACTCCCAAGGCAGCTGTGCAGGTTCAGAGTGCACCTGTCCACACTGGGAGAGTTAAAATCAAAGCAGTCACATCCTTCAATAAAAGCAACACTCACCTGGTGGTGGATGTAAAAACGGAGCTGAAGGAGTGTTTTGTGAGGACTCGTCTCCTGGCAGAGGCACTTGGCTACAAAATGGAGGAAGGCGTTGAAGCCAGAATCCGCGAGGCAATGCCGATCTCAGCAGAGGCTACAATGCAAGGAAAGAAAATTACGGCCATTAAAAAGGTGTAAAAATGTATTTTTATGATTATTTAATTTTACCTGTCTCACTCTGTTTTTCTAAGCTCATGGTGTAATGGACACACATATTTCAGTAGTATTCTCACGTTTTTTGAATGTTTTGTTTTGAAGTTCAGCCTTTTATTTTGAAAGAGAAAATTATAGCGCAAAACAGGAAAAAGGCTAAGTAGTAAGTAATGTGAGATAAACCTCGCAGCGTTTCCTGGTCTGTTGGGTTTTCAGCATTATTTCCTCTGTTCAGATTGTCGGTCTGTGGTTGTTGTTGAGTTAGTCGTTTCAGGCACTTTGTGTAGCACTTCTGGAAGTTGCAGATTTTCCCAGTGTTCCAATAACTGATGGATCAGAGGCACTTTCAGACTCAAGGAACTTTTTCAGAATTTTTAAAAACTTTTTAAGTGACTGCATCTTTTTTTAAGCTTCTGCCTCCAACAAGCTAGGTGCTTGGAGTTCTTCAGTGGTTGAACAAAGAGGAGCACCAAGAACAGGCACAAACATGGTAATATGGTATGTTGTTCTTGTGGAGGTAACACATTTGGACAGTTACCCTCAGGTATGATTCCTCTATATTATATACAGTACTGTGCAAAAGTTCAAGGCATGTGAGAAAAATTGCTGTAAACAAAGAATGCTTTCAGAAATGGAAGAGTTAGTCATTCATTTTCATCAATCAACAAAATGCAGTGAATGAGCAAAAGAGAAATGTAAATCAAATCCATATTTGTGGTGACCACCCTTTGCCTTCTTCTAAGTACACTTACAGGGCGATCGTGGCTCAAGAGTTGGGAGTTCGCCTTGTAATCGGAAGGTTGCC